GGAGAGCGGCCACCACAGGCCCTTCAGCACCGCGGACAGCGGCCGCCGCAAGGTCACTGCCCGGGGCCCCGCCACCACGGGCCACCGGGCACTGCCAGCCTGGGCCTTCCCTTCCCTTCCCTTCCCTTCCCTTCCCTTCCCTTCCCTTGGCTGAGCAGGACACACTGCTCACCTGGGTTCAGCTGCTGTACCCAGGGATCACATCTACCAAAGCCAGGCAATCCTCTTCTTCACTCCCATTTTTAGCAGGATAGGATTTCTCTGCTTGTCTCCTGGAGCAGGTGAATAACAAGCTATCTTTTTTTTTTCCCCCTCCCCTCACCTTGCAGCCATCTCTCTTCCCGTGACAAATGACATGAATAAAGGCGACGCTAAGGTAAGGATGGGACAGTTGTGGAAGGAATATGAAGGATGCGATGTTTAATCTCCACCTAGCTGTTTGGGTTTTGGCTGGTCCTGCAGAAATGCCCTGTAGGAAGTACCAGGGATTTACATGAGAGCCCTACAGCAGGATCCATCTCCATTTATGAAGGATTTACCCTTTGCATATACACTTCTGGGTACCTGGGCAGGAGGAAGGTCCTTCAGGATGTACCAGAGGGACAAAACCAGGTTGTCTAGAGAATGATGAGGCTGGGAATGGAGGCTGGGTATAACCCTTCCTAGTCCTCCTACTTTCATCTTTTCAAAGCTCCCAACAGGAGGTGACTCAGGGGAGAGTGGGGGGAGATATGATTCAGGAATGGGCATTGCTGGAGCTGTGTGTGTTTGGGGGAGTGCATACATCTGTGTTTGTATGTGTGTGGCGTGCTACTTAAACATGCGTGTTCCTGAAAAAGAGGTGACTGGCTACTCTCAGATTGCTAATCCATCCTCAGCTACTGCTCAGCCTGTCTGAATGGCTATGAGCAGTGCAGGACTTGGCTGACCTCTCCAGCCTCGTTTATAGGCTTCTGTGCGTTCATCTGCTTCATGCACATTCATTGCACTTTACAACTGTGTGCACATCCAACAGGCTTTTGTCATCTAAATACTTGGATAGATGCATTTACTTATGTTGATCTGTGACAAAACTCCCTCTTTCCTGACATTATAATACCTATAGTATTGCAGATAGATGCCCAAATTGAGACTTCTACAGAAAATAGTGTCTGGAAAGGCAACTCCAACCTTTTCCCCTTTACTTCTTGAACTGCTTTGTTTCCTGAAATCTTCTAGCCACTGAAAATCTTCTAGCCACACTATTTTTCCCTAGGCAGCAGTAGGAGAGGCCACATTCATGTCAGTCTCAGGCACAGGCTGCCTTGTACAGTGTCCCTGCTTGTTACCTACGGGGCAAGTGCCATGAGAAATGTCTCTGTGTCTCCTGTCTGATGTGCCTGGGCCTGGAGAGCTGTTGCTTTGTTAAGACTTTTAGCCTGCTTAACCCTTGCTGGGGTTGAGCGATGAGCTGTGAGCCACTGGGTGAGCTACTGAGAAAGGGAACTCGGGGCAGGCACTTGCTCCTTCAACCGGCCATGCCAGAGTGGGATGCTCATTAGACATCTGATAGGACAATCCATTAATCCCACAGTTTTTCTTGGGAGATCTAATCCCCAATATGTTCCACGTGTAAAACATGGCACTTTTGTGGAAGCTGGTGCAACTTGCAGAAGTGCTTCCACCAAAGAAGGGTTGTCTCCCAGACCTGCCCTCCCCCTGGGTACTACACTAACACAGGCTCTATCTGAGACCGAAATCAGATTACACCTTTCTTTTGAATTTGCTGCACCTGGAAGGAGTCATTAGGGCTTCTCCAAGACAAGCATTTCAGTGAAGGAAGTCCTAGTCTCACAGGACAGATGAGGGCAGGAGTATCATCACATGGGTACAGCAATGAGCATTGCAGCTCTTCCCACACCCCGTGCTCTGTGCCACCAGTATTTGTGGGTGGCTCAGTGCTGTGTAATGGCTAGTCAGCACCTGGAGGCCTTTTCTGGGCAGCTCATCAGGCTTGCCTTACACCAAGGATGTTCTATGGGGAGCTGAACATGACCAAAGCATTTGTGATTTCGCTGGTGTTTGCCCACTCCTGTGCTCAAAGGACACCATTACCCACTTACAACCATTCATTTCTGAAGGACGCCAGCACAACCGACTCAAACATGGTGAAATCTATCCTTGTAAGGACATGATTCTTTGGAGATTTCTCTGTAGGGACAGCTTGAGAAGCTCTTAAGGATTCAGTTACATGCTCACAGTTAGCGGATAGCTATGGCAGAATTCTAGTCTGAGTTTCTGCACTGGATTAATTACATTCATTTGGAAAGAATCTCCTCCATTTCCTGATGCAGGCTGTTATTTCATGACCTTGTAGAGCCTCACTCTGCAAGACTTGCCCTTACAAAAAGTCAAGGAGAATGTTGTGGAATGACTATACTTTGCATGTAATTATGTTACAAAGTTCCTCCACAGAGCTGGCTGCATTTCTGTGATGACTGATGTGTTTCTTTGTATTCAGACGAAGATGTTAAAACAGTTTAAAATCTCTGAAGAGCTTCTATGAGTATTTCATTAGACCAGATTGTTATTTCTCATGCTGAGAAAGTCCTTACTTCTGAAGCTGCGTCAAATACTGCTGCAGTAAATGGCTCCAGAGGTTGAGAAATGTGGGAGAGAGGTATCAGAATCTGGGGTTTGTTCTATCTGGTGGTAGAGTGAAGTGACTCAAAGCCATCTAAACCAAATACTAACAGATTGCTTGTGGTATAGGAGTATGATAACAGAGATATTTCCCTGCTCTCTTTTTGTTAGATCTTCCCTGTAATATTTCTAATCCAGCAGGCAAATCCTGTCAAAGTGTGTGAGTAATCCTAAGAGTTCAGCACATAATGGCTGTAAGCTGCAAAGGCAGAATTCTCTCCTTACACAGGGTGAAAACCTGCCCATTCCTGCTGGACAATGAATATATCCGAGTGCTTGAATGAGCAATGTTGGAGATGATTGGGAATTGCTGACTTATGTTTAATTTCTACTGCAGCTGCAGTGCTCTGCTCTCCTGAGAATGGCACCTTCTAAGGGAGGTCAGGGATCTTAGGGCTGCCTGCAGAAATCATCAGGAGAAAGAGGTTCAGTGAGTGAATTTTTTGCCCCCAGGGCTTACTCATATTGGGTTTTTTTGTTGTTGTTGTTGGTTTTTTTTCAGTGTAGCCTCTTTTCCACAGACACTTGTGAGCCTTGCATGCTTTCTAGGCTGCTTTGTAAGTAGTCATCCTTTTGCATCTAAGCAGCCCAGCCTGATTCCTGCACTACTAACTGGCACCAGACTGTATTGAATGCTGCTTTCTTTCCTGTGTGAACGTTTGGGTCTACCACGACCACACAGCAGGGCTCCTGGTCAGTGTGTCCCAGTGTGCCCAGGATGCCTTCACCCCTGCCAGAGGTTCCACCTTGCCTTTGTCCCTATGGCTTTCATTCTCCCACTACATACTCAGCACTGGGTGATCCCTGTGGGCTCAGTGATGCTGCAGTTGCATGGGTGAAGAGCGTGGGTCTGCAATCTCAGTACAGATGACAAACAAGATAAGTAATGTTTCTTATTTTACACTGAAGAAAATGGGTTCTGGCAAGGGCAGTCCCAACGTTCATCCTATCTGGAAAGCTGTGTGTGAACTTCTTTGCTTTCAGATGACCTGCCTCTGTGTACAGATCTTCCAGTCTATAAGAGATGGCTTGAACACTCAAGCACAAGATCAAACAGTTCTCCAGGGTGTCTTGACCTTCTCTAGGGCTTAAGAGTAGTATTTCTGATCTATGTTTGAAAGTACAATTTGTTTCACCTCACCCTCCAAGCCTGGCTGCAGTCTAACTGTGGTGCCCTCCTCATGACTTGAATAGCTTGCAAGATTTCAAGGCCACCTATTGAAGGGTTTTGAACACTTGTGGCTCTCCACAACCTTCCACTGAACCTGAACTTCCACATGAGATGCATGTTGAGATATATTGACTTACAAAAGGATGATTTTGAGCTCTCTATGTGTATACCCAGATCCCCCTTATCTCCTGATGTGTTCAGCCTCTGGGATGGGCTAGAGTTGTTAGGTCCTCAGCTGAGGTGTGCATCATGTTGAAAAAGCTCTTTCCATTGCTATTTGTCTTTTGCTCACTTCTCAGTTTCAGGAGGTGCCTCCTCTTCCTGAATTAGGTAAAACAGGAACCACGCATTCAGTTCTGGCTCAGTCAGAAAACCAAGAAGGTCTGCACCATCATCTCCCACATTTTAGCCTTGGTAGCAAATAGGTTAAGGGAAAAAAAAGACTGAAAAAAAAGCAGTGCTTTAATCCCTTTTTTTGTCTCTTTCTAGGTGATGAAGTGCATTGTAGAGGTCATCTCTGACACTTTATCGAAGCCAAACCCCCTGCCGATCAGCGAGGAATGCCTAGAAACACTCAGGGGAGGTACAGGCTCAGAGTAAATGCTGAGTATCAGCAAGAGCAGATCTGGAAAGCAGGCACTGGTCCTGAAAAAAGGACCCCGATACACCCTGATACCTTCTTCATGGTCACCCCACTGGGCTGCACCCAGCCCCAGAAGAAGGGATGGAGCTGCTCCTTGGCCCAGGCCATGCACCATGCTGGCACTGTGGCCAGGGGAGTGCTGGGTGACATGAAGATGCCTGGTTTTCATGGGACCTTCTTGTCGCCTTAACACAGTTAAAAGCTGTGACAGCAAATCAGGACAAGGGACACAAAAGAGTAAATTAAGCGGGAGGTGGCATTTGGGGTTCTTTTGCATTTCCTGGGGCCGAGGGGAGGTTGTCTTTGACCACATTCTGTATCAAGTCTCCCCTATTGCAGATGAACGAATCATTTCCATCCTCCGCCACCAAAATCTATTGAAGGAACTTCAGGAAATTGCTGCTCAAGGTACAGTGTCACTATAGTTATTTGGGAGGGGTTTAATCTGTAGTAGCCCCTGTAGCACAACATTGTTTGTTCTTTTTGTTTGTTTGTTTGTTTGTTTTGGTGTGGTTTGTTTTTTTTTTTTTTACATTAATTTGGCATCATATAAATGTGCCGTAGGAAATATAGTCCAGAATCCTAGTAGAGACTGAGTGAATAAGAGTCAGGAATTTTGCTCCAAAATGCATCTGATGATTTAAATGACTGTCAAAACAACTTAGTGGTGATGTAGAGTATTGACATTTTGGAGTGGGAGAACCCTAAAAGGAAATGCTGTAATTTAATTCAACAAACAACCACCAGCTCCCAAACTAGAATGAAAGGCAAGAAAACTTTCACTTTCTGTGCAGCTGGAGTCTAGCACTAAACCCATGTGTGGCAGAAAGGAAACCTCACTGAGCAGTGAGTGGGACTTGCACCTGAAAGTGTGCTGTGAAAGAGTCCTCGAGCTGATGGGGATTTTTCTATGGTTTCCTTAGCTCAAATGCATACTTCTTTGGTTTCGAGACACGTAGGTTGCTCACTGTGGGTCAGCATGGGAGCAGAGGGAGCACAGAAGGGTGCAAAGGGGTGTGCAAGGGGGAAGAGGACTATTCTCAGATGCCTTCATCCCCAGAGCTGATGTGCAGGTCTCAGGCAAGACTGCTTCAAAGCCAGTGCAGATGCCTTTGCCTAGGTGGTCTGGTTGAGGCTGTAACAGGATTTTGCCCAGGCAGTAGGGAGAGCAGCTGCTAGCCCTCCCTCCTCCTCCCTGGGGTAAGGCACTTGGTAACCCTCACTCACCAGAGCATCCCTGTGCCCTGCTCCTGCATCTCACAGCTACCAAGGATGGCTGGAAGATGGTGCCACCAGACTGCTTTCAGAACGGGGAAGCCACAAAGGCAAAAGGGAGAAGGGAGAGACAAAATTCAGGAAGTCAAGATTGGGAGAGACCCTCGTGTAGCTCCCAAGGCCATAGTTTGATCACTACCCTAATGCCACTGGTGCAAGGGCCAGCCGGGATCTTCTGATGATCCAGAAGAAAGGAACATGGGCTGCTTCAGCGTGCTGGGACGCTGCTGCCCAGGCCCACCAGAGTTGTGTGGGGGAGTGCTCGGCTGTCAGACGGGCTGTGCCATATCGCGTGGAGTCCACATGGAGGGACTTGTTTCACAGAGACGGCTCCGGCCCCACTCTGTCCTTG